GGAGCCAAATAGTTTGAGGAAAGAGGTTTGAGAATAGTAGAATACACCCTGGTGTTTTGTCAGATTCTTAGATTCCAGTGAGACTAGGGAATTCCACAAATGTTTCACTTTTATTTCATCTTTTAGAATATTTTTTAAATCACTGAAAATTATGATGGATAAAGTGAATACTGAAATGCGTAATATTACATATTTCTAATATGGAAAGGTCCAGCAAGGCATTAAATTGCTTCCTTGGGGTTTGTGTAGACCACAGTCATGTATTAAACAAGTATTGAAAACATCTACCAATTCTTTGTCTCCAAAATTAAACAAATAAAGACAGAGCAACAAAAATGTAACCAACCAACCAACATAAAAATAGACCTTAAATACATATTGAGGCTCTGCAAGCTTACGGATCTATTAATTCCACTTTCAAAACTTTCCAGTCAGTGTAATCAACTGACTTTATGATTAACAAATGTTATAGGTAACTACTTATTGAATACATTTTTACTAGTAAAGAATTATCTTTCATATTTATATGCTGAGATTTTAGTTAAGATTATGTTGAAATACATTCCTCATTTGCAAATGATAAAAACTTGAAAAGCATTTCCCAGGAATTTATCAAAACATACCATGGTAAGTCTTTTGAAGTCTTTCGTTAGATGGCCATATGGTCACCCAACTCTAATGGTCATTTCATACATCTGAAAATGTTCATGGACTTGTAGGAATTTGTGTTACTTAAATATTGCATAGTCTTTCATTTCATAAATGAAGAAACTTGGGTACTCTTAAAATAAGTATGGGTAGGCAATGTCAGGAAGAATTTGTGAGAAATAGGAGGGTGAAAGGAAGTATCATCTAGTCAACCAGGATTTACATTCTCTTAATGAGCAGACACATATGTCACAGTGAGATCACAGTCCCAGAGGTGAGAATCAATGACCTAGAGAATCAAAAGCTTATCATTAGCAAGCAGTGCTAAGCCTTGAATCATCTCAAAATTATTTGTAAATGTATAGGTGACTAAACAATAAAGGCATGAAATAATTGTACTGTAAGAACTATTACTGTGTGTATCGGTGTGCGTGTGTGTGTGTGTATGTTTAGTGCCAGTGAAATTAGGAAGGGGACATTGGATGACTGGTGAGGCCACATAGCACAATGGGACAAGGGACACTGGGGTGTGTGCCTTATTTCTAACCCTAGGATTTTCTCTGAGTCCTAATAATCTTGGATATATCATACTGCACAGCTTAATTTGGAGAAGTTTCTCCATCTACAAATGAAGTGTATATTCTCTCTGATGACAATCCAGCCCTGCAATTTTTGGATTCATTGGTTTTTATTAGGTTAAAAAAATAATTGAGGAAAAGTTAAAAAAAATTACCAATTTGCATTTTATAATCCAGAAGATATCAAAGAAAAAGTTCAAATTTCTGGTGCTTTTCTTCATTAAGGTGGTGGTGGAGGTGGTACTGGCAGTGATAATATCTCATTATTACTGTGATATTTTTCCTAATAAGCACACTCCTCCTCTCTACCCCTTCCATTCACCTATTAAATGCCTCTACCATCCTGATTTATTACTGATGAGATAGTTGTGAGGGCACCATAGTTCTCAGCTGTTTAGTGAATGCAGAGTAAATAGTTAAAATCACTGGTAAAGTATGGGAGTAGAGAGTGGTACTTTTATAGACAGTGGGGACCTGAGGGACAGAAAAAGAATGGTCAGCAGAGTTAGGTTCGCTTGGGAGCTGTAGGCTGAGATGTGGCATGATTGTCATCATAAATCAGTGTCTTCCTGTCTTAGTCCATCCGAGCTACTGTATCAAAATACCACAGACGGAGTAGCTTATAAACAACAGTAATTCATTTCTCATACATCTGGAGGCTGAAATTCCCAGATCAGGGTAGCAGCATGGGGAGCTCTGGTGAGGGCCTGCTTCTGGATGGCAGATGGCCAGCTTCTAGCTTTGAGTCCTCACATGGTGGACAGGGCTCGGAATATCTCTGGAGTCTCTTTTATGGGGGTGATAATGCGCCTCTCAAAGGCCCTATGTCCTAATACCATCACCTTTGGGGGTTAGGATATTTAACATGAATTTTGGGAAAACTCAAATATTAAGAGTGTAGTGCTTCTCCTATAGAAAACACCTGAGAACTGGACCCAGGGGTTTTGGAGAATGATCTCTGTACCTTCTCCAATCCTCTCTCCAAGTAGAGAAGACTTTGAATGCTTCTCTCCAGCTGGCCTGCCCAGAACTCTGCAGAACATCAGGGACATTACCGTCCTCTTTCCTCAGTGACATCAAGGGACGCTTTGCTCTTCCTTTGGGTATGAGAGCTTCCTTTCTCAAAAGTTTCCAGTAATAGATACAATAGTGTGGGCGTGTGTGTGTGTGTGTGTGTGTGTGTGTGTGTGTGTGTGTGTGAGAGAGAGAGAGAGAGAGAGAGAGAGAGAGAGAGAGAGAGAGAGAGAGAGAGGTGGATGTCCTTGTAATATCATCAAAGGCCTCAGGTAATTCATTGACTGAACATGTGAATGGTTTCTTTTACAGGGAATATTAACAGAGCCAATGAGTTGGAAAGAGTGTGATGACTGGGTCCCAGAACTGAGACAAGATAAACAATGTCTTTTTTTTTTCTTTCTTAAAAATTCAGCCATGGAAAATATGCTGAGAATTTAATTGTGCCTAGAAATTTTGATATATTTATAAACTGCCTAGCAGTAGCTATATTAATTGCATTTTTACAATGTGTCAGACACCATTCTAAGTGTTTTCCTTTGATTTAAACCTCACAACCACCCCAGGGGGCAGCTTTGATTGTTGGCTCCATTCTACAGATGAGAAGACTGAGGCACACAGTGCTACAGCTTCCTTCCTAAGGGATGGTGGTAGAGCTTTGGCTTTTGCACAAATATTCTCAACCACTAGGCAATGCTATCTCCTGTAACAGAGGGACAATGACCACTGTCTGCTTCGTACATCCAGGAAGCCGCTTAGAAAACCAGCCTGGGGGTCAGGGTCAGGTGCCCTGGTACTGCCTGATGGCCAGTGATTGCCTCTGGTGCCACTTGTATACTCGGCACCTGAAAGACTTTTCTCTCTGTGTGTATAGATTTCTAATGTTTCTTACAGGAGTCCTGCTAGTCTCTATTTACCATCAGTGAGATCTTGGAAGCTCTCCAAATGCAAGCTGGCCTCCAGGGGTGCCTACCAGGAAGCTGGTCTGCAATCTTCCACGCGTGCACTGAGTTCACCATCCTTTCCCTGCAGGGAGGTGTTTCTTTTGGAAGCCTTACCTCTGCATGGTGCCTGCCTAAATAAAAATAGACTCTTGCCCACGCCGGTTTGGCTCAGTGGATAGAGCGTTGGCCTGTGGACTGCAGGGTCCCAGGTTCGATTCCCATCAAGGACACATGTCAGGGTTGCAGGCTCTATCCCCAGTTGGGGCGAGCAGGAGGCAGCCGATCAATGCTACTCTCTCATCATTGATATTTCTCTCTCTTTCTCCCTCTCTGAAATCAATGAAAATCAATGTGCCTGGGGTTATTTTCAGAGGTTAAGTTGGAGGGACACAAAGAATGTGGCAAAGAGGCCATTGTAGTGGTTGGAGGAGGCCATTTTCACTGAGTTCACGATGGCAGTGCCCCCATGGCAGGGGAACAGATTGTGAGAAATCTGAGTGCCACGTGGGTCGATTCCTAGGATGCGTGAGACCAGCCTGAAAGGGATCTTAGTCCTGTTTCTTCCTCAAGCAGTATGTGCATTCATGCTATTGGATGTCAGCTTCCCTACTGCGTTGTCCTCCCCATCTCTAGCCACACCATAAGCCCGTCATTTGGTCCTGTAGGTTTTGCCTTTGGCCTAACTCGACTGTCACTTCTTATTTCTACTGGGACAGCATGTCTGCTTCTGACATCTACCTACCTTCCCATATAGTTAAAGTAATCTACAATTCTTTCTTACTGGTGTTGGAAAATTGTTTGTTGTTTTTTTTAATATATATCTATAACCTTGGACCAAACCATTATAACTTAACCTCAGTTTCACTGGGACTCCTCCCCACCATCCTGCATTCTTGGGGCCTGCTTTCCATTACTATATGCCAATTTCTCCTGGCTTTATTGTCTGCACCTGGGCTGACTTTCTCCTCCATTCATCCCCAGGGTGCTGCTCCTGCACTCCAGCTTCTTATCTTCATGCAGTTTCTTCACGATTTGAGTTAGAGGCTGAGAAATCTCACAGGGAGGCCCATCCGTTCTTTCTAAAAGCCACAGCACTAGGGTCCAAAGCCTAATGCAAAGCTAATGTGACCCAAACATACAGTCCCCAGCCAACCCCCTGTCTCATGCTCTGCTGGCCTTGATTGCATATTTATTTCACTGTTCTCCCCATTCACAGTTGAAAGCTGATAGTTTCCTTCTCTCTGATTTCCTGTTTCACACTTGGAAAGATAGGGCTGACTCTTTCAAGCCCTTGATGCTGGATAAAGTTTCTGCTTCTAAACTTATGATCCACTAACTACATCTAACAAGACAGAGCACTCTAATACTCAGAGCACTGCTGAGTTCAAAACCTGGACACATTTTCATGATAAAACCCAGTGAATGTAGGCGACCTGTAAGAATGAAGACTCATGAGGAATGGTTTTCTATCATCTTCAGTTTCAGAATCCAAGGCCCATGTCCTTTTGTCCATTTCACATAGATCAAGAGAGCCAATAGTAATGTAGACTTAGCTGAGTCTCCTACATGCACACACACACCTTGTACCTTAACTTTCTCACCTATCTTAAATGTGTGTTTGTCGCATTACTGAATTCCATTTTAAACTATGAGGTCCAAGGAAAACTGTGCTACATGCATTCTTAGCAGGAGGATGCTTTGAAAACCAAAATTCATGAAGGTGGTTTTTTCTTTATTTCTTTGTTCTTATGATTTTTATGAACTGTTATTTTTTTTGGACTTATGAAAAATAAAACTCTCTTTTTACCTTTTGCAGAAACTACCTCTTCAGGTTACAGCTTGACGATTTGTCTCTGATCCAGGTAGGTGCAATTCATTTTCCTCAAGCTTTCCTTTTCCATCCCAATTAGCTCACTGTCCGAGGGTGTAAAGACAGATGTGTGTAAAAAGGTATTAATCAGGGCTGTGCGGGGATGCATTGCATCCGAAGGTCAGGCCACAGGGGTCTTGGCTGCCCTGCTTGATATGAGTCACCACCTGCTTTGATTCACAGTTGGCCCCTTTCTCCCATTGTGAGTTCCTCTTCCTTTCAAGGGCACCATCTGACTTCTCTTCTTCAAATGATAGATAATTTAAAGGACACTTCCTCAGTGTCTGGGGGTATCCTGTTCTGCCCCAGTTGGAATAATCATTGATTATTTAGTTGATGCTTTCAGCCATCACATTCTCATAAAAATCAACCCTCTTAAAAAAATCATTGTTTCCTCTTTCTAATGAAATAACTATGAACATATGTGTGGAAAACTACCTATAGCAAAGCATTAAAATAAGTGATGCTACATAAAATGACAATTTACCTACATCTGTGTTCAGGGTTTAAAGAAGGAGCATGTGACTCTTATGTTGAATGGAGTATTTATTTTATTGTCGGAGCTGAACCACCAAGGCCCAGTTCCCCTCCTGGCTTTTAGACGTCTGATGACCAGGGTCTCCTTGGAGGGGAGAAGGTTAGGGCACAGATGTCTCCTTCAACAAGGTTCTAGAACTCCCCTTGGACATGTCAGAATTCTGGGGCTGTGTAATTTGGAAACCGTTCCTCAAGCAGTTTTAATGCCACTCTCATGTGCTGGAATTCTATGAAGTTATTGGAAAGAAGTTTATATCATTTTCTTTTCTTTGTGATGCTGGTATTAATGGACATGCAGGAAACTTTCATTACCAGTGGTGAAATAAGCCAGTCCCACAAGCAAAGCTGATATTGGTAAAATGCAAGGGCTTTGAAGGTGGTAGACTTGCTAGCTCCATGATTCCCAGCACTGATGGGTTTCCTCATCTGTGAAATGGCCACAAAACACTCCCTCCCCCATACTGTCACTGCCAAGGTTAAATGAAGTAAAGCATGCACAAGAGATAAGGCACAGTGCTTTTTGAACAAATGTTAATTGCTTGTGTTTTTTAAATGGAACAATAATAAACAATACATTATTATCCTAATTGTTTCATTGCACTGGGCAATGAATTGTCTTTTCACTGAAATTTTGTATATAACTAAAGTCTTTAAAAGAGTGCATTGGTTGGTAAAAGTATAACGTATGAATAATGACTCAGAATGGTCAGCAGTTTAACCAAAATACTGTTTTAAAGTTCTGATTTTTAAATAATCTTTTGTAAAAAAAAAAAATGTAGACTTTTTAGTAGATTGGAACTGCATATTATATGCTCATTGTGATTCTCATGGTATAGTATATTATCTGGCATACTGTGTGTTTAAGTAGGATGTGCAGCCTGGCCACTGTGGTTCAGTGACTGAGCATCAACCTATGAAACTTGAAGTCACAGTTCAATTCCCGGGCAGGGCATGTGCTTGGTTTGTAGGCTTGATCCCTAGTATGGGGTGTGCAGGAGGCAGCCGATCAATGATTCTCTCATCATTGATGTTTCTCTCTCTCTGTCCCTCTCCCTTCCTCTCTGAAATAAAAATATATTTTTTAAAAAGTAGGATGTGCAGATATGTGTGTGTACAAGTATATTCATGGATTTCCTAATTTCCTAGCTCTCTTGGTTTAGAGGGCCTAGAAAGAAGCAATGAACACACTGAATACACAGGACTCGATTTCCTAATCTCATTCTCCGCTGAAATAAACCAAGATTTTGTATCAAAGTAGCTGGTTCTAGGGCCCAGGTAATGAAAGTCTCAGTTAAGCCTGGAAGGTATTTTGCTCCAGAAATTAAGGATGCATTCAGAGAATGAGGAGGGCATGTCAAAGGGAGCTAGGGACCAGCTTAAATACATGGAGGAGCTCTGGGGCAAGTTGATTGCTGAAATTAATAATGATGGTATCAGAATAAATTAAGAATCCATGAATAATAACTAATATAAAAAATAAGTGAACGAATTACCAATTGAGACAGAAGGGGCTGCCCTTCCTTACTGTAAACTGCCAAAATGAATGCTGAAGTTTATGGGTAAGAGTTTGATGATGACCAAGATATCTATATATTCTCAAAGTATTCACCTATAAAATACTTATTTATTATAAGAGGAAAACTTGTGACTTGATAGTAAAAAAACCTGGTCAATCTCACTTTAACCACTTAGTTGAAGGTATCTTCACTATTATGGGACAAAGAGCTGGTATAAACCTCCTGATTCAGTGCACTGAGAAGGACACAGCAAGATTTCCATAATATTACAGCCAAAAATTTTAACCAATTTCACTATGAGGAACCATTACACAAACCAAAACTGAGGGGGCAGTCTACAAAATGCTTGCTTCCACTTTTAAAAATCACCAAGTCATGAAAGGCTTGAAAAGAAGACTTATTCCATCAAAAAAAAAAAAAGAAAAGAAAGAAAAAATTGACTTGATAATCAAATGAAACACTTGATCCAAATTGCATCTTGTAACAGAAAAAAAGAATATTTATAATCCACTCATCTGCTGATGGGCACTTAGGCTGTTTCCAAATCTTAGTTATGGTAAATTGTGCTGCTATGAACATGGGGATGCATATATCCTAAATTGTGGTACATCTACACAATGGAATACTATGCTGATGTAAAAAAGAAGGAATTCTTACCATTTGCAACAGCATGGATGGAACTGGAGAGCATTATGCTAAGTGAAATAAGCCAGTCAATGAAAGAAAAATACCACATGATCTCACTCATTTATGAATAATAAAGACCATTATAAACTGATGAACAAAAATAGATACAGAGACAGAGCAGCATCGAATAGACTGTCAAACTACAGCGGGAAGGCCGGGGAGGGTTGGGGCGGCGGGAGGGAGGGTTTAAGAGATCAACCGAAGGACATGTATGCATGCATATAAGCATAACCAATGGACACAAGACACTGGGAGGTAGGGGAGGCTGGGGGAAGGTCAAGGGGGAAAAAAAAAGGAGATATATGTAATACTCTTTGTAATACCTTAAGCAATAAAACAAAATTAAAGAATATTTGTGCTATAAAGAATACTACTGGGACAACTGCCAAAATGTTAAGGTCTTTAGATAGGATAGTAGAAATGTATTAATATTATTGATTTTGATACATGTAATGTGATTATTATATAGGAGAATGTGCTTATTCTTTGAAAAAACCTACTAAGATAAGTAGAGGGTAAAAAGTATTATTTCTGCAACTTTTCCTGTAATGATTTTAATAATTATAATGTGTGTATGTAATATTATATATAATACACAATTGGCAGAAAGAATGATAAAGCAAATGTGATTAAAAGATAATAGGGGTATTGATTCAAAATAATATTGAATGTAAACTATGAATGAAAATAAGAAAAGTTCATAGGTGAAATCTAAAAGTCTGGGTGAGTAGTTTTTAAGAGTCCTTTGTCCTTTTCTTGCAGTTTTTCTTGATGTTATTTCAAAATAGATGCAAAAAATTGGAAGATGCACTTGCCATTAGCCCATATATGATGTAATTGTGGAGAAAGGGAAACTGCTTTTTCATTTCTTGCTTCTTGTTGTCATGACTGCCTGTGGTGGGAGTCAGGTCTAGGTTACGGATGGAACTAAACTGTTCTTGAAGTATGGAAAATCCATCAGCATCACCGCCCAATCAGAGATGAGAGTCTATGACATAGAGCCAAGCAGGAGGACAGGGGCTTTCTGAACGGTTGCCTTGATAACCCAGCCCTAATAACAGGTGCCAGACATCACTCAGTCCTAGTAATATTGGTGCAAACCGCACAACTCTCCTTTCACATTTTTGGTTGTGTATGCTTCTTGGTAGCCTCCTGTCTACTCACTGTGGAGAGAGATAAAGCTGGCAGTTCTTCCCATCAGACTGTTTTTTTCTTACATGTCTCCAATAAAGTTGTCTTGTTGATATCTATGAATATTTCAGCTTAGTTTACATGACTGTTTTCAAGGCTGACAAGAAAGAGTAGGCACACCGATGAAGAAAGGACTGAACTGGTATTAGAAAGAGCTCTGTCCAGTAGGAACCTCATGTGAGTCTCATTGCTAATTTAAGATATCTGGTGGTGGTCACATTGAATGTACAAGTATGCAGGGGAAATTATTTTTAATAACATATTTTACTGAAGTCATTATATCAAAACCATCATTTCAACATGCACCCATAACATTAGAAGAAATTGAGATATTATATTCCCTTTTTCTTTTTGTATTAAGTCTTCGAACTCTGGTGTGTGTTGCTCTCAGAGCATATTCCTATTCGAAATAGCCAGCATTTGAAGGCTCAGTGTGGTTAAGTGTAACCCAGTTGTACAGTGGAATTCTAGGTCATGAGTAACAGACGCATTTATGACTTCGATGCCTTTGGTTGTGTTTTAAAAATGTTATTTTCTGCCTGGGAGCATCTGGATTGATTTGGATATCTCAGGCTAATAATTGTATCCTTTCCTCTCTCTCCAAAAATAGAACTTTTTCTTTAAACATGGGAAAATGAGGAAACTGAGTCCAGGGAGAACAAGCAATGGGCAAAATTGGAGAGCATCAGAACTGAGAATCAGTGATACCTCAGACAAGCTTTGTTTGATCTTGTCCCTCTCTGCCCAGCATTGCAGTGTTCTTGCCTGTCCCTGTCACCTGCACCACCGTTGGACAGTTTCACCTTGTCTCTATGCTGCTTATAACTTCCCAAACTGCAGGTTATTTCCAAGCTTTAAGAATGTGCTGTTGCTGTCCTCTCTCCTGGAAACATGTTCACCCTACCCTCTTCTCAATCTAGAAAAAGATGGCCCAGACTGAGTCTCACGTTACCCGTTCTCCTCTTTGTAACCCATCCCGACTCTCTTTGGGCTGATGGCCCTTGGATGCCTTTTATAGGGTCTGAGCCCTTACTTCTGACTCGAACCTACTGCCTCTCAT